TTCTTGGTGCAGAAGAAAAGATGTCAGGTTTCCAGTTTCCCAGTTAGGAAACAATGAATGATGAAAGAAAAATTAATAATTACTCATGCCAGTAATCCAGTTTGTACTTTTAAAATTTGGATTTAAAATCTAACCTCCAATTTCACACTTTCTTGTGTGGTGTCACACACACATCCAATAGTTTGGTAAAGATGATTAAACCTGTATTGCATTCTGGCAGTGACTTTCCTCGCACTTTGCTTTCTTCACTCTACGTCACCTGCCTGGCTTCCATAGTCTTTGACTCTGCACCCCTCAATAGGCTGAGTCAGTTTAAAATAGATGCCAGTGGCACCAATCTATGGAAAGCAATTGAACCACAGTAAATTGGTAAAATGTAAACTCGACCCGTTCCTATAAAGTGGAAAGCACTCTCCAGTGTAATTTTTTAAAATATGCTTCTCTAAAATAGCCTTCTATCTGTTGAGGTTTTTGTGATGCAGTACCAGCTAAAAATGGGTAGTCACAGATGAAATTTAGAAGCCAGATGATGAGTAGTTTAACATTGTTTACTAGTGAGTGAGTGATTTTACTTTATATTTGAATTTTAAGTTATTTGATATCCAGCCTCCCAGTTAATTGCCTGGTTTGGAAAATCACAAAATCTAACTAAAAGTTATGGCTTTTAAAATTTTGTTTTGCTGATTCTTTTTCAAAATGTTTTGGCCAATGGAAGTGAAGTAATAAGAAAATCAGTTTATATATATAAACAAGATCAGTGGAAAAGCAGTATCTCCCTTCTCCTTCCAAATAAATTCTAGGTGTCCACCTAACATTTTCAGGGCCCGGGACTGGAGTACAAAGAAAGGCCTTCAGTGTAGACATCTGGAGGGTTAAAAGTTATAAATCAATCTGGTAAACTAATAAAATATGTTTTATCTTCCTCCCTTGACAAATATACCTTTATAAAGACGTGGTAGTCCAGGTTCAAATATAAAATTCTTGGATCGTTGGAATTCCATGCTGGAGCATGGCACCAGAAAGAAAACAAGTGCTCGTCACTGGCTCCAGGTCTGCAGCTTCCTTCTTCTCTCCTCACTCCCAGCTCCATTCCACAGCACAATACATATGGACAAGCCAGTCAGCACATTCAAGCTTCTTACACATCTTGCAAACAGTGGCACCTAGGCCATCTCTCAGAAGACGATAAGCAAATGTGGCAAAATGTTAACAATTGTTGAATCTAGGTGAAAAGTGTACAGGTGTTCATTGGATTATTATTGCCATTTTTCTAAGGGTTTAAAATGTTTCAAAATAAAATTGCAGGGAAAAATGAAGGGTTTGACCTTCAAAAAAAATAAGTGGCTGAGTGGATTTGCCTTGAACTGTATAGCTTGTAAATGATGGAGCAAATCCATAGCCAGAACTTAGACTTCAAATATAGTGTCTGTTCCATTCCCTCTGTCACATCAATGTGAGTCTGTGAATCTGGGATAGAGGGCACTAAGTTTTTGAGCAAAAAGATCTGTGTGTTCAAGAAGACTAAGGAATCTCTACTTAGAATAAGCAACCATCTCAGAAATCTTTTGAAACCAAAGAAGATTGTCTTTTGCCACTGGAGGTTAGAAATATTCCTATCTTTTGGCAGGAAAAATGGAATAAGTCTTCTAGATAGCACCAGCCTCCAAAGAAGTCTAACAGCTGATTCATTGCCTTTTCTTTGAAGTTCAAAGTTGGTTATTTATTCCAAGGCATTATTCCCCGATCACTAGCAAATCAGACTCCAGACAACGGCTACAGAAACCATAGCTGCTAGTTTTGGAGTAGAGGATATTAATAACAAGAACGACAAATTTATCTGTCCAGCATTTTTCCACTAATAAAGCACCCTCAAGACCGCAGACTCCCCATCACTTACTTAAAAATGTATCATTTTCCCCAAGTACTAAAAAACATACCCTGCTCCCAGATCTTGGCTTCTAAATACCACTCTCCATTGAAAGGATCCAAGGCTCCTTGAAGAAGTGGCTGATTCCAGAGCAGGGGCAGGAACATACAAGATGAGCATAGAGCATCTTGTACTGCCAGAAAGTCAGGAGGTGCTCAAGAAAGCAAAAGGACGAGGGCATGTCAAAGGGAAACAGGAGCTAAGCTGAAAGAGCTCCCAATGGCCAAACCTGAAACATTTTGAGCAATGAAATTAATAAAGTGGCATTGGATCATTACCCAAAGTATAAAATAAATATACTCAAGTTCACTGTGATACAAACAAATGATTGAATGAATGAAAAAACTCACAAGTAAATAAATGAGGGAGAAGAGACAGATCTTTCTTAAAGAGAGAGAATTTAACCCTTCCCAGCCACACCCACTGCATGTGAGTTGGACTTAGTGACTTAGTTCCAAACAACAGAGTTTGGAAAGGGACAAATAGTAACTTTACATTAAAGAAACTTGGCATCCACTTCCATAACCAAGTGATCAAGACACACCGCACTTGCCATAAGTCATGTTGATATCCTGTATCCCCTGATACAATGTGATGAGAAGTACACCTCTGTGGTATTCTTTCTGAAAACCCATAGCCCCAGTCCAGTCATGAGAAAAACATCAGACAAACCCATATTGAAGGACACTACAAAATATCTGACCACTGCTCCTCAAAACCATCAAGATCATGAAAAGCAAGGAAAGACTTGGAAACTGTCCCAGGCCGGAAGAGACTAAGGAGAGATGACTAAATGTAGTGTGGTATTTTGGATGGGACAGTGAAGAGAAAAAGAATATTAGTGTAAAAATTGGTGAAACCTGAGTAAAGCGTGGAGTTAAGAGTAACATGACAACCTTTGTTTCTTAGTTTTGACGAATGTACCTCTACAATGCAAGATAATAACATTAAGGGAAACTGACAATGGGTGAGGGACGTATGGGAATTCTATGTACCATCTTTGCAACTTTTCTGTAAGTCTAAAATTATTCCAAAATTTAAATTTTATTTTTAAAATGTAGAGTTTTAAATGCTTCTTTTTTTATGTACAAAAAAGTTCAGAATTTTCACATTCTTACATTGTCACTAAATATAAGTATTACTGTCCCTCACTAATATAATTAATATAACCCTGATTAGTCAGGCAATTGCCTAATAAATTGCCATCCATGGCTGATGTTTTGAAATAAAACCATGGTTTTGGCACCAACAAACGAGGTATTTATGTCAGTGACTTAAACACAACAACAAAATAGTACTTGACTGACTTAAACTGTTTAAACTTTTACATGGTGGTTGTAAACGTGATTTTTGTGTTTGCACATCCTATATAATGTCATAAATGTAAAGTTTTATTTGCTAATTGAAATTCATTCTTCAACAAAATTGATGCTGAAACAAGAAAACAGAAGATGCAATTTCAACTCCTCCTCAATCCTTAGGCAATAATATTTGAGTTCTTTTTATCTTACATAAAATACTCTTTTGCTGGTAGAACACTATACCAATCATAAAGTGCTTTCCAGTTTGTGGTCTGGAAATAATAATAATGATTTCTTGAGTGTTTACCTTGTGCCTGGTACTGGGCCATGAGTTCTGCATCATTGTTGCATTCATACGTACATCAATATTGACATCCCCAAAGTGGATATTATTTTTATCTCCTTTTTACTATGTTGAAATTGAAGTCTAAAGTGGCTAAGTACTTGACCAGTCACTTAACTAATAAGACGAGGAGCCAAGATTTGAATCCAGGTCTGTCATGTCTCACCCCTCCTGAGACAAATGAAGTCAGCCACAATTTGACAGAAAGGTCAGAGGGCTGTGACAAAGGACTAGGTGCCACCCTGACACTCTTTATGTTCCCACGGTACCCTGTATCTATGTCTACTGTGGCCTTACCACATTTTTCTTTAAGTCTTTAAGAGAGACATTTTATTCATCTCATTATACTTCTAAGGTCATGGACATTACCTGGAATACAACTGATGTTCAATACAGAAACTAGTTAGAGAAAATATTATTATATGGAAAAATGCTGTTTAATAGAGAAATACAGACCACTCATAATTCATCCTATGTCTATTATCCTCCCCTCATAGGAAGGTCAAGGATCATTTATTTCTGGATATCATGAGGGTAATGATGATGGTGATGATGACTGCCTTCCATCTTTGTCCATGCTCAGCTCTCAGTGCTAGAATGATATCCTTTCAACTTGGATGTTACTTCCACTGTGAAGCGTTTCTTGCTTCCCCAGAACTGGGTCAGATTTCCTTCTGTTGGACCAGCAAAGCACTTTTTACTCTGTATTTAACTCCCTGCTGCCTTTGTCTGCCCCACTAAAATGAAAGCTTATTGAGTTTTCTTACCACTATACTCCCAGCTACTGGCACAATGCCTAACATACAGTTGTACAATCAATATGTATTTGTCGAGACATTCTTGTAGCAGATTTTAGATTCTATTACCTTAAGTTAAAAATTGTACTGTCCATTCTCCAGGGAGAGCATCATGGGGTTATAATTTACTCATCAGTTTTCTTCCTACCCAGATCAAAGTTTGTAGCTTTCTCTGAGATAGATGAGTCAGGATATTTTCATATGTGTCAGACAAGGCGTGAGTAGTCCTATGATTCAAATGCTTCATCAAATATAGATGGTCAGCTGGAGTGGTCCAGCAGAGGCCATCAGGAGTCAGGTATTTCTTCATTGAATGAGAAGTTCTCCAACTCTGGAGTGATTCAGGTACATCCTTAGATTATGTGAATCTCAAGAGGGCTGCAGTCTTGCCTAGTATCTGGTAGCAGAGCAAATGAGTTGCAGTTTCCTTGGAAGACAGAGGATGGAGGGTTCTGAAAACATGATGACCAAAGCCTTGAGAAGCTATTCACACCAAGATGTCAAAGCAATACTTAAGCAATTCTATTAAGTATTGATTTTCATTATTGGGATTCTCTTACACTGGGTAACATGCTATTTGGTATTTTAAGAAAGATTCCTCTACTTCCTCTTTTCACTTCATTACCGCAACCAGCTATACTCAGAGAAGCATCTTGCTGAGCTCACTGCCCAGCACTGGGAACCGGCCTGTCTCCTAAGAACTGCTCCTCCTCGGGCTGCCAGAGCAGGCTTCCATGCTACTGTGGGCATCCTTGCTGTTCCTTGGTAAGTGATGGAGAGGAAGCCTCTGCTCGCTGAGAAATCTGAGCTTCTCCACGAGCAAAGGCCTCTCCTCTGGGCTGCTGATAAAAGGGATTTTACTCCTATTTAAGAACAGTAGAAAATGAACAAAGGGGAAAGATGTTGATTAAATGGTATGAGAAGAAAAAAATTGATTTCCAAAAGTGTATTCATCATTTGCTTTTAACTGCCTACAGAAAATTCTTTCTATTCCAAAAGTGGGCTTATTTTTCCATGTATAAATAAAGCTACAGTTAGATTCAGTTACCCTGGTAATCACAGGTCATGAAGACCAGAGTGAAAGATGAACTGACACCATTTTAAAAGGACCATGTCCTAATTGTGAGCAGGTGTAGAATGATCTGCTGAGAATAGTTATTGCCTTCTCTGTACCTAAGATCAAACCTGCTCTGATGTTTGCAAAGAGCCTGAGAAGAGAAGAAATAAGAGGGTTTCCCTTTGTTTTTTTTCTTCCTTAATTTTGTACTATTTATCAATATTTATATAAATGAGGCACAGATTTCCTAGTAGCTCAAGCTAGGGAAATAAAGACCGGTCAGTCAGTCATACACCAAATATTTATTAAGCATGTTTGTCTTGTTCTCAGCTGTATCTCCAAACCCTAACTGAGGGAAGAGTTGTTAGTGTGGCTGGCGCATCATGGGAACTCACTAAATAGCAGATGAATGGGTATATGAACATGGCACAATGCTGGGCAGTGAGGAGAACACAGTGACATAGAGGACACAGTCTTTGCCCACAATGGCTGACACTCTGATAAGGAAATAAAAGTACAAATGCAAGAGCATTTGACTTGGCAGTAGGAGAAAATATTACACAATGTGTCATAAGATAATGTGGGTGATAATAATTAATGTTTGCTGATAATAATTAATTCTTGCTGAGCCTTATGTCAGATACTTCTAAGAATATCTGATGTATTAGTTTACCTAATCCTCTAACAATCGGTAGGTTAGAATTGCTATAAATTCTATTTTACAGATAAGGAAACTAAGGCACAGAGGTAGTCTCTTGCCTTAAGTTTCCTTCAGTAGAACAGTTACAGGTCAGGACTCAAATCCATAATCTAACATTGGAACCATGGTTTTAAGCACTAACCCACACTGCATGTCCAATTACAAGTTCCAAATGAGCTGCGATGGTTGTGTTCTGAGTCAAGAGAAGAGGGAGGCTGCTACAGCCTAGGGGCATCTGAGAAGGCTTCTTGGGGGAGGTGGGATTTCATCTGGGCCATGGGTGTGACGTGACTTTGGTACTGAAGGAGGAGAACAGCGTTCCAGGCAAGAAGATAGTGAAGCCAAGTCTCAGCAGCAGCCACAGTCAGTGTTCAAAACGCAATGACAGCAACCAGTAATTGAAGACTTGCTAATTGAACGCATTAAAACAAGACTATGAGGTCACTTTTATGGTCCCCATTTTACAGATGAGGAAAGTGATCCTCGGAGGTTTTATATAGTTTGCCCAGAATCACACAGCTGAAATTCAAAGCTGTTTCTGCCTGAGTTCACAGCCTGAACTTTTGGCCATGGCATTACCTTGCTTCTCTTGAGTGAGTGGAACTGGACGTGTTTCTCCTCCTCTTAGTTGGAAGAAGAATGTGGGCAGGTGAGCTCTCAGGATGGAGTGGTTTGGGGCTCCATGCCTTATGCTGATGTCTGGCTCTTGACTTTTGCAGCTCCAGTCAGTGGACAACTTGGTAAGTACCCCTTCTCTTTTCTTTCTTATGTTTCAAGATATCCTAATAACCATCCTCTATCTCAAACACTTGTAAGAAGAGGCCTTGTTGTGTCTGCATCCTTTTCCTGAGGACTACAAGCATATGAAACCATTGCTCTGTCTTATCATTCTGACCTTAAGACTTTGGGAGTTACACTCTTGGACCAAACCTGTTATTGTATTCGATGAACTTGGGGGGCCTAGGATACATGTCATGGAGATCAAAGAGAGGGGGTGCCTCCACCTGACACGAGACTCTAGCCAACCTGACAGAATGCATAAACTCCTGAGAGGGGAAGCATAGAAATAAGCCAGTGCCTCAGTGGGGGAGGATGGGGTACAAACAACTTGCCTGCTTCTCCACGTTTCCTAGCTCCAGCTTGACAAAGCACTGCCCTAACTATATCAACCAATTTATCCTGAACTTAAGCATTTTTGTAGATATTTTCCTATTAATAACTCAAATCATGATGACTTTGAGCCCCCATCCTACTTGTCAGGAGAAAGTCCGGCTTTCTACTGGAAGCTGTCTCCAAGTGTTTTGCCAATCCCTGTGGATTCTTTCAAGCCCGTGGAGTCCATCCTGGGGGCTGCACAGCCCCTTGATATACACTGTCCCCTGCAGTTCCTGGGTCTACAGTTCTCCCCCTTAGTGCTGTGGATACGCTCCGTTTCCCACAAATCCCTGACTAACTGGGAAGAGATTGCAACTTGGCAAGACTTTACTAATGGTTCTAGGATGGAGAAATAAGGTACAGAGAGTGTTGTACATCAGCTACTCGATGTGGTTAATCTCAGAACCCATTAACTCAGTTCTAACCTCATGAGGGCCCTGACAAGGTATGTTTCCTCCTGGCCATAGGGCCACCAGTGCGCGGCAGGGCCAGCTTATCTGGACCAGCAAGGAATCTGGCTGCATACACCAAAGGAAGTCTCTTTCTTCTAGTATAGGACCTACTGCCAAGTCCCTGTGTCCCTAAACCCAGGTGCTTCCTAGGATAGAGATAATGGGGATTTTTATTCCCTTCAGGAGAAACAACCCCATACCCACTGGGGACACAGGATAGTCTGTACCAACCTCTAAAGAGAGACAGAAAAATGTCTGCAGAGACACGTGAATGTTTTACATTACCAAACAGAACATTTAGCTTCTTCATTTGAAACAAGCATCCAGGTTACTCTGCAGTTTTTGCCTCCAAACAGAGGGAGAGTATTTCCTTCACATTTGAGATAACTAAAACACCACTTTGGCTAGTTTTTCCACAGAAAGTTATGAATATACAATGTCTCAAACTTTAAAAAAGCCATCGCTTATAAGCTCTTAAATGTAGACGTTGATCTGAGTGTAAAGGTACTAAGAAAAAAACACACAAAGTGATTCCACTTAAAATTTTATAGTAAATTACATAACCCAAAATTGAGATTTTATTTTTTAAAAAAAAACAATACAATTGGAAATAATTTGTTTTATTTTCTACTTCACAGACTTTAGCTTATCATAGGCAATTTCTAGAGCAAAGCATGAATCTAATATTGATTTTTTTTTTGGTATGTGGTTGCTACCACAGCTTCAGGCATCCTGACCGTGTTCAAGGCAGGAAGTGGTGGAGGGGGGCAGGGGAAGCTAACACTGTAAAAGAGCTTCCCAGTATGCTCTCTCTTTCCACCATAAAGGAAAAACTTTCCCCAGAATCTCCATTCCCTAGTCCACTCCTAGTTTTATTCCTCTGACATGTCTTTATCCAGAACACACAGCTGGGAAGGTCAGTGCTTCACTTTTTCAAACCCAACGGTGGCAACAGGCTTAAGAGGAGGGCATTGGGACTGACTTTCAGAAGCCAAACAAGTATTTTCCCTATCATTGGTTTCTCCTCTTCAATTGTTAACAGAGCCTTATTACTACACTTGTCAGTGACTTTGGGAGCCATCAGAGCAGTGGTCCCACATAACTTCTACCAACTTCATGAGTTACTGCATCTTCACAAAATCTTAAATATCACTTTGCCATCAATTTTCGCTGTATGTCCTGTGAAAGATTAGCCTATCAAGGCACTGATCTTTCAGCAGGCTAGGTAGTAGCAATAAAGGGGAAGGATGTTTGAGGAGATGTTTCCAATCATGTATAATTTGGGTTGTAATTATTTTTGTTATGGCAGAGAAGAAACATTTTTCCTCTATCTTCTTAGGTTTTATAATAGGGGCCTGCAAACTAAATGGACAAAGACAGATTAACAAGAGAAAAGAGAGATTTTTATTCACTACTTACAGGAGAACAAAGAAAAATGTGAGCCATGGAGGCAGGTGGAATTTGGGGCTTATATACCATCTGAATAGCGAAAGGGGAAAGGGAGAAGAGCACTTAGGGGAAAACAAATGGCTTTTAGGAAAGATAAATAGGCCGTTAGAGAACAGATGAGAGCTATGATAGTTTTGTCACAATATTTATTTAGGTGTGATGCACTTCCAGTCTCTGGTGATAAGAATTAATCCTTCCTGGTTGCTCCTGGGGAGGCAATTTATGATAATTGAGTTCTTTTGGGAGGCCCTGCTTTCAGATAGATAAGGGTGTTCAGAGTAAAAACACATACATAAAATCTACTCTCAAATGCCTTCAGCTCAAAATAATTTTTATGCCACAGCGGTATATTCGGGATGCCTTCAGTTACTAGCCCTCACAACCTCACAACTACAAAACTCAGAAAATAAACACTTAGATAAGAGCCTCAGTAACAGTTTCTTTCGGGGAAATATAATTATAAACAAAATCTTATCCCAATCCAGAAATCCTCTTCAGAAAGGATTAAAGAAAAAATGCTTGTTTCTTGAGTAAGCATTAAACCGGAATGTGATGTGCATCGCAATCCACTAAGAGACTGCGGAGACAGAGACGAATGTGGCGTTCCTGTACAGCCAGGCAGATACGACCCCATTACAGACATGTTTTCAAGATTAAACTATTTCTCAATTAAGAGGTCTTGACAGCACCCTTTGTCACACATAGCTCATGATAATCGGGGAGACCACCCCTGTGTGAGCTATTTGGCTTTCATACAAAGGAGGAATAAACTTCTCAGGTCTTTAGGCCTGGAGGTAGTTTTGCATACTGGAGCAAGGTGCCCTCCAAATGTAGTCTGTCATCCTCCCACAGGAAGTGGGAGAGAGGGGAGCTATTCCCCTAGATGTCTGCATTTTGAAAAGATGGATCCTCTTGAGAAAGACATTCCTGAGTTGTGAGACTGGCAAGGGGCTTATTCAGCCTTTATAAAGATTTACATCATTTGTAAGGAATTCTGAAAGAAAAGGGAGAGAGGGAGAAGAGTTTTCCCTTATTTTCAACAGGGAGAGTTAAACTTCTTATTTTCAATTTATATTTACCTTTACATTCTCCAGTTTCTATCCGTCAGTGTTTCAAAGATCTTAAAGCCTGATTTAACGCAAGGTCCATATTTTATTGTCATGAAAGAGTATCTTTGAGGATTGGGGAGATAGGAGCACCTAGTCCCCTCCCCCCAGCACTCATACTTTTTGTCGCTATTCAAATATAATTCTCACTTCGGACAACAGCCTGCTCCCTTCTCCTCTATCTACTTCTTGTTGGTAAAAAATACAGCTCAAACCCTTTTCCATAAGTGCATAATCAATCCCCAAATTCCTACGCTCCCTCTATCACAACCGCCAGCCCACCACATGCCCATGGCATACAACTGCTCATCTTAGAGATGAGTCTGTAATATCAGGAGCCTGGAAAGGAGGGAATCCAGGAGGAAGCTACTTGAGGACATGGCCCACTGGGAAAGGTAAGGGGGTTGTGAGCCTCCCATCACTGATCTTCCATGGTCAGTCGGTGCTGCTGGGGTTGGCTCTGAAAGGCCAACATGCTCCTATGGACCATGGAGCAGCCCCCATACCTCTGGGTAGGCAGGCACAGCTGGAGAACCTGCAACCTGGGGAAACAGCACCCTTCCCAGAAGGCCTTTTAGGGATTCTCCAAAGCCAGGTCCTCCAGTCTGTCCCACACAAACCTCTGTAGTGGGGACTGCAGGCACCTCCACCTCAGACTCATTTCTCTCCTCCTCAGCAACTGCACCCAAACCCACGATTTCTCTCCATCCTCCATGGACCACCGTCTTCAAAGGAGAGACTGTGAATCTGACTTGCGATGGATTTCACTTCTATGCACCAGAGAAAATAAAATGGTATCGTCACTTCCTTGGAAGAGAAACACAAATCGAAACCCTAGGAAACACCTTTCAGGTCCATTCTTCTGGAGACTACAGATGCCAGGCCGAGGGCTCACAGCTAAGTAACCCTGTGCGCTTGCATTTTTCTTCAGGTGAGAAAGAAGGAGAATTAGTTAAAACTTTAGGAATGGTTTTGGTACATCTTAGCTCCTTGGAGTCTCCAAGAACTGAGGCTTTCATTCCGCTCTAACCCTTGACCGCAGTTACTTTCAGTTTCACCTTCTCCTTCCTGGTCTATAAGTATTTTCCAAACTGCTATTGATATTAGAGTTCAAATGTCTAATATGAAAACATTCTTGCACACTTACATAGCAAAAGAGTTGGTGTTCGGGGATTCAAAAATGAAGCTGTTTGAGATCCTGCTCTCAGACTTCCTCCAGGAGAAGTTACACATACATGAATGTACTGAGCACAAAATAGAAAGTGAAAAGTGCCATAAAACAAGAGTTCAGAGGGGAAAATCTCCAACCTCAGGCCTTGTGTCCCCACCTGTCCTAGTATCAGTCCCTTCTTTACTCCTGCTTTTCTGACACCCTATCTCATCCTGTCCTGTTTTGCCTACTTTAGGGACAATGGTTTGGATCACTCCACAGGCATCGCTCTGTAGGAGCAGGCATTCACTGCTGTCATCTAAGAAAGAAAGGGTAGAACTAATCTCAAAGAGCAGAGAATTTCCTTAGCAGACCACTTTCACTATCCCTCCAGCCTGGATTTGTGTCTGTGATGATAAACCTGCCACATAGCAGACTCCAATGCATTGTAATACTTCCCGTGCTATTTCGCTAAAAGCTACCACTTGGATGACTCCTGCTCTGAGGTTTGATGAGCAAGCTGGTGTTGATCTTTGCCATATTCAATGACATCAGGGATTTTGATCACACCTCCTCTCAGCTTTTCCTCTCTGTTTGAGAATCCTTATATTTTTAATCTATCATTGAATGATTAAGTAGATGTGCTTGGGATTTATTTAGGAATTGTATCTGAAGTGTGTCACTGATTTGAAAGGAAATGAGCACCCTTGGGTCAGGAGACTAAATCCTGTGGAAGAGAAAAGAAGAAAACAGCAAAACCTTTGTAATTCCAGATACACAGAGGACGGAGTGCCTGAATGACATGTCTTGTTTCTCTGTGGTTTCCAGACCCTCTCATCCTTCAAGCCCCGGATGCTGTGTTTGAAGGTGATATGTTTGTTCTGAGATGCAAGAAAAGGGGGAAAGAGAAACTGATTGCTGTGAAGTACACTTACAATGGAAAAGTTATTTCTAATTCTAATAAAACCTTGGATCTTCTGATACCACAAGCAAGTTCAAATAATGGTGGCTATTACCAGTGCATTGGATCTGTGGAAGGAAATTATATGTTTAGATCAAGTACAAAAGTTATTAAAATTCAAGGTAAACCCTTCCTTTCATTTAGATTTGCTTAGTAATGTCAGGGTCGGGAAACTGGGTGTGACAGGAGGGGATCTATGGGTTGATATCAAAACTCTGAATAAATGAGAAGCCTAAGTCCTCTAGGAAGCAGAGAAAGTGGAGTGATTAGACTTAAATAAAATGTGATAAAGGATTGGATAAGCTTGTTTGTCTTGCTGTGTGTCTGAAGTTTCCTAGGACTGAGAATCCAAGCCTACCTCTCCCGGGGCTCTAAACACCCTCATGCTGAGAACTGGATTTTCCTCTTCTCTCTAGAACTATTTCCACGTCCAAAGCTGACAGTCACAGCCTCCCAGCCTACAGAGGGGAATTCTGTAAACTTGAGCTGTGAAACACAGCTCCCTCTAGAGCGGTCAGACACTCAGCTTCACTTCGTCTTCTTCAGAGACAACGAGGTGATCCTTTCAGACTGGAGCAGGTCCCCAGAATTCCAGATCACAACCATCTGGAGGGAAGACTCAGGATCTTATTGGTGTGGTGCTGAAACAATGACCCACAGCGTCCACAAACGAAGCCTCCCACTGCAGATCCAGGTGCAGAGTGAGTGTTGGAGAGCCAGGTGGGCTGGGTGGGGCTGTGGTATTTTCCCTGACTACTCTTTGGCCCTTTGTGGGTAGGGACGGCCCAGTACAGATGGATTTTGCCATCCTGGTGGAAGCATCAGGCTTAGACTGAGAAGTGAAGTACTGTAACAAAAGAAATGCAGAATTTCATTTCCAACTCCATTTCTTTAAAACTCAGTCTTCCTTTGACACTCTATAGCCTCAAAATGATAGAGGTGCTTCATGGAGTTAGATACAGGAGTTGGGGAAAACAAAACAAAAACAAGAAAACAAGGGGCCCTGCTACTGAGTTGGCAGATTCTAGAATGCCAGATCTTGGGGCAAACTATTTAGAAGATAATCTTCCATGTTTTCTTAATCAGTAGCAACAAATAGTAATATGAGTGCCTGTGATGTATAAAGCAGAAAAGAAGGAGGTGCATACATGCATACATACAAAGATAAACACAATAAATATCAGCTTGTCTTAGGTACCAAAGCAGGACTTCTGGAAATGGATGTGATCCAGCCCAGTGCCATTATGGCCACTATTGTTGTTACCTATCTCTCAAAACAATCCAGACCTCCAACTAGGACATCAGACAAAACTTAAATGCTTCTCCAGGGATAGCCCATCTTTTTTCTCCTGGAGCCTTGTGTATCAGGATGGAAAACTTACTACATTTAGTGATATTCTAGGTCCAAAATCCAGTCTGTGAGCTACAATGCTGGCACCTGCTAAAGAATATATCTTAAAGTGACATAAAAGGTGACCCTGTCCAACATCCCAGCCCTGCCCTCCCACACCAGGCCCTCACTTGTCATCTTGTGTGCACACAGGAATCCCTGTGTCTGGAGTCCTTTTGGAGACCCAGCCCCAAGAGGGCCACGTGGTTGAAGGGGAGACACTGATCCTTGTCTGCTCCGTGGCTGAAGGCACAGGGGACACCACATTCTCCTGGCACAGAGAGGACACAAAGGAGAGTCTGGGGAGGAAAAGTCAGCGTTCTCAGAAGGCAGAGCTTAGGATACCTGTTACCAGCGAGAGCCATGCTGGGGAATACTATTGTACAGCTGACAATGGCTACGGCCACATCCGGAGTGAGGTAGTGAACATCACCGTGAGAAGTAAGTTGTAATTTCCATTGATCTTATTTATTCTCAGCTTTCTCAAATTAGGAGTGGGCATAACCAACACTATCTTTGTGACCCTCCTTTTTCTATTTCCATTTTGCCATCTTCCGTGGTGATAGACAATTTCTTCCGTTCAAATATTAATAATTCAGGTTATGATGAAGTCGTACAGTGAGGCAAAGCTGGCCAGGAGCCATTTCACACGTTGGAGATGATTTTGTGTGCCTGTACTCTGATCCATTGTGTGTTGATCTCAAAGAACAGCTTTAACTCATTAACAGTGTTTTACGGTAGGGTACAGCTCTATCATCCTAAGTGTCACCTATACTCTGCTTTCAGTAAATCATCCACGGCACATCAAACCAGTCTCCTCAAGTCTGAAGGACTGAAGTAACAGACATTCCTACACTCCATTACTGTAGGCCTGAGAGGGTCTCAGTGCCCAACTGTATGCAGGTCAGGAAACTTACAAGAGAGCAGATACAGAGCCTAGTTCTGTCCACTGAGGAGACAAGCCTTCCTTTGGGATCCCACAGTTCTAGCTTATGTCTTTCTCTTTCTCTTCCTTTTTCCCCAAGAAGCCACACAGGCCAAGCCAAGTTCCCACTCAGCTCCCTTGGCACTCAGGAAATGGTTTCTACTAATTGAAATTCCTCCTCTATCTCAGAGTAAGTTGCATCCTTCGATATCCAATAAAGCTAACTTTTATTGAGGAGCTACGGGAAAGCTAGAATTCCTTGCTTTTTTTTTTTTTTTAACAATAAAACTCCTCAAAAGAATTTTCTCTACCCACTCTTTTTACTTCTCCTATTTTCTCTCAAGTCCATCACCATCAGGCTTGCCTCATTCCACTGAAATTATTCTTGTGAAGATCACTTATGACCTCTCTAAATCATAAGTCAGTTCTTATTACTCCTCTGCTCAATATTTTCCCCTGGCTTCCCATCTCCTTGAGAGTGAGAGCCAACATCTTCTCAATGGTCTGATGATCTGGCCCTCCTACTTCTCTGACTTGTCCCCTGCCACTCTGCCCTCACCTTTGCCACTCTAGTCACCATGGTCTTCTGTCTCTTTCTCAAATGTTTTGGTCACACTTTCACCTCAGGGCCTTTGCATTGCCCTTCTCTGATATCCTCATGCTCACCCCCTCACTTCCTCCAGAACACTAATCCCCTGTTCAATGAGACCCTCCCCAACCACCCTAGCAGCTCTTCACCAAGGTGCTCCCTCTCCAGGTCCTGCTGGATTCTTCTTCACAACACATGTCACTAATTGCCATGCCATGTAGTCTTTGCTGTCTCCTCTCACTCCTCCCATATTAGTGTCATGAAGGTAGGTCTTTATTTTGACCACTGTTGTATCCCAAGTGCCTGGACTAGTGTTTAGCTCATATGAGGCATTTGATAAGTATTTGTTGAATGAATAAATTTTACATAAATCATTTTTGTTGATCATAGTAACAATCGTAGAAGATAAAGATATTATTATCTCTATTCTGCAGAAAAGGAGTGTGAAGCTCAGAAAGGATTGGTAATTTGCATAACTTCACAAAGCTTATACCAGGCAGCCCAGATTTTATCCTCCATGCAATCATTTAGCTCAGAGAAAGAATTGTCAAAGTTCTCCTAGGGAGTACCCCATAGTCAAGTGCCTAGCGTCAACCAGGCTAAATAAGCATAGAACTGTGCTGTTTATATCAGCAGTCAGCCCTGACAGAACTGTGAACCTCAACAGTTTTGGTTAGTGGCTCTGGGAAGGGCTTGCTATGCTAATGGCCCAGCTGCTGTGCAGTTTTCCCTTCAACTCCCTGGAGGCAAGTCTTGTGATCAAGCGGGGTCTTCGTAGGTGGGGGGACTGACATGTTTTCCCACATAAGGGTGCCACAGAAGGGTCTGCTTGTCACCCTCAAAATTTCTTAGCGAACAGCAACATTGAGCATAATTCCCAGCAGAGAAGGGCAGAGACTAAGCTGGGTGTCATTTTAATGTCATTTCAAGAAGCAGCTGGGGAGGGGAAGAGAAGATAGCAGAGCTGAAAGCTCCCAAAGGGCACTCCCTGAAGGCTCTTGAGTGCCTTAAATCCAGAGTGACACTGGAGGTAGGAGTGCTGCTTCTCCAGGAAGGCTCTTATACTGAAAAGCTTACCTTGGAGAGCCCAAAGCTTGCAATCCCTGAATAGGGTAATAGTGAATCTGAGGGTCATTCACACCCAAGTGTAAAATTACTTACCTTCCTTTTGGAGGTTAAGGGGATAAAAATGAATTAGCCTCCTCTGATCTAGACAGTGAACTGGTTACTTCACACATGTAATTTCATTTTACACTCACAACTACCCTGCAAGGCAGATGTCATTGTCTGTTAAGGAAACAGATGATCTCAGGGATTAAGCAAATGTCAAGGATTGAGTTGATGTATGATAGAGCAGAAATTTCTTCCTAAATCTCTTTTGTTCATGGACCTTATGCAAAATCTCTGTACTTTAGAAGTGGGAGAATTTCTAGCAAGAGAGAAACTCTGAATTAGCCTGCAGTACTAGGCTAAGGTGGGCTGCCGAAGCTCATGTTGCTATAACAAAATACCATAGACAGAGTGGCTTTAACAACAAGAAATTTATTTCTCACAATTCTAGAGGCTGCAAGTATGAGATTGTGTCTGAGATCAGGGTGCTGGTATGGTCAAGTTGGCAGGAGAGCTCTCTTCCTGGCTTGCAGACAGCTGCATTCTTGCTGTGTCCTCACATGGTAGAGAGGGGGAAGAGAGAAAGAGATCTCTGTTGTCTCTTCTAAGAACACTAATTCCATCATGAGGGACCTCATCTAAACCTGATTACCTCCCAAAGACCCCCATCTCTAAAAGTTAGGGCTGCTTCCATGTATGAATTTCAGGGGGAAACACTTCAGTCTACAGAATAGGCTGAAGTTGGCTGGAGTATGCTGAGTAGGAGCAGACCTAATTTGTGGGCGTGTCCCCTAAGCTGATCAGAGGGCAGCATGAAGTTCTTGAGGGCCTAGGGCATAGTATGAGGGCAACAAATAAGAGCTAATACTAACATAGACATAGCACTTGTCATGTGTCAGGAGCTGCTCAAAGTACTTTATATATATTAACACATACTTAGTCTACCTCCAATAGTACTAATATAGTTACCATCATCCCCATTTTACAGATAAGAAAGCTGAGGCACAGGGAGATGAAATAATTTTCCCTGGCCACACAGCTAGTAAGTGGAAGAGTCAGGATTCTAACCCAATAACATAATTCTAGAGTCTGTGCCTTTCTTTTTTCCCCCACATTTGTCAAGATATTATTGGCATATAACATTGTGTAGATTTAAGTGGTACAGTGTGATGATTTGCTATATGGATGTATTGTGAAATGTTTACCACAGTAAAGTTAGTTAACACATCCATCACCTCACCTGGTTACAATTTTGTGTCTGTTTGTGTGTGGTAAGAACTTTTAAATTCTGTATTAGCAGCTTTCAAATATATGATACAGTATTCTTAACTCTAGTCAGTGTGCCGTACATTACTATCCTTAGAATTTATTCATCGTGTAACTGGAAGTTTGTATCCTTCGACCACCTTTATTTATTTCCCCCATCCTCCATCTCTTGTGCCTAGTAACCACAGATTTGTTCTCTGTTTCTGTGAGTTTTTAGATTCCACATATAAGTGAGATCATACAGTATTTGTCATTCTCTGTCTGAGTTATTTCCCTTAGCATAATGCCCTCAAGATTCATCCATGTTGTTGCAAAAGGTAGGATTTCCTTCCTTTTTATGGCTGAATAATATTCATCCTACATATATATATATATATATATATATGTATACATTATATATATGTATACATTCTTTATCCATTCATCCATTGATGGACCCTTAGGTTGCCCATGTCTTGGCTATTGTAAATAATGCTGCAAAGAACTTGAGGATGCAGATATCTCTTTGATGTAGTAATTTAATTTCCTTAGGATATTTACCCAGATTGTTGGATAAAAATAGAACATAGCAGTTCTATTTTTAATTTTTTAAGCAACCTCTATACTGTTTTCAATAGTGGCTGCACCAATTTTCATTTTAACCACGAGGGTACAAGGGTTTCTTTTTCTCCACATCCTCACCAACACTTGTTATCTCTTGTTTGTTTACTAATAGCCATTGGGACAGGACTGAGGTAATATCTCACTGTGGTTTTGATTTGCATTTCCCTAATGATTAGTGATATTGAGCACCTTTTCATGTACCTGTTGGCCATTCATATATCTTCTTTGGAAAAAAAGTCTCTTCATGTCCTTTGCCCATTTTTAAATTGGATTATTTGGGGATTTTTTTGTTTTTTGCCATTGAGTTGTATGCGTTCCTTATATTATTGGATATTAACCCCTTATCAGATATATGATTTGCAAGTCTTTTCCCCCATTCTGTAGATTATCTTTTCATTTCTATGATGGTTTCCTTTGCTGTGCAGAAGCTTTTTAATTTGATGCAGTCTCACTTCTTGATTTTCACTTTTGTTGCTTGTGCTTATGGTGTCATATCCAAAAAGTCATTATTGAGACCAATGCCAAAGAGATTTGCCCCTGTTTTCTTCTAGGAATTTTATGGTTTCAGGTCTTACATATAAGTCTTTAATACATTTTGAGTTAATTTTTGTGAGTGGAGTAGACAGAAGTCCAGTTTTATTCTTCTGCATATCTAGTTTTGAATATCTAGGTTTCTCAGTGCCATTTAAGAGACTATCTTTTCTCTGTTGAGCATTCTTGGCTCCCTTGTCAAGTATTAGTTGATCATATATACATGGGTTTATTTCTAGACTCTAGATTCTGTCCAATTGGTCTCTGTATCTGTTTTTATGCCAGTACCAATTCGTTTTGATTACTCTAGCTTTGTAGTACTCATCAGTGGAAGGAGCTGGCTACCTTTTTCCCCTTTGCCACAATCCACCAGGACTCTTAACCTCTTGCCTTCTACCACTTCACAATGAGTTACTTCCTGTCCTGTACAGGCTCAGGTCTGAGCCTCGCACAAGTAGAAGGCTACTTCCTGTGCCACATCATCCCCGGTCTAGCCCTCGTGAGTCCTAGCCCCTCTAGATTCCTCCCTCTCCCAGGGCTCAGACTCCAGTCAAGCCAAGGGAAGGTTTCAGGGCATCGTGGCAATTCTAGGCCCTAGATCTCTTCCCCTGGGGCTCATACAGACTCTTCTCCCTCAGGCCCTCCAGGGAATAGAAGTGGCCTTATTGCCGGGGGAGCCACTGGAGTGTCGCTCAGCATTCTTCTGGCTGCTGCCCTGCTGTTTTGCTGCTGGCACCAGAGGAAATCAGGTTTGTGTTCTCTCCTACCACTTGCAAGAGCCCTTGCTTTGGACACCTCAGCTTGTTGCAGCCTCGGTAACCACCAAATCACCATTCTCTACCTCAGCACCCCAACACTCACAGGCACACTCAAACCCTTTAAAGGGCAGTTTTCTTAATAGATGCTGTGGTTGAGGGCTGCTTATATCTAGTTTGGTTTACTAAGCCTCAAGTGAAAGGTGGGGAGGAAGTAAGATTTTAAATGTAAGTTTCAAAAATTTTATCTAAACAGTTTACTTGGGCGGTTTCTTTGGTTCATACAGACTGGTCAACTAGATACGTCAGCCTGTCCTAAATCGCCCTTATATGGACAATCAAAATAAACCGACAGGCTCTGTAAAGAAGTGACTAGAAATAGGATCTGGCTAATCTCTATTCTTTTTCCTCAGAGACTCCTCTGAGTCAAAGCCTGAACCTACCATCTCATGCTTCAGAGGCCCTGCTCTCCACAGGTCAGCCCTCCAGCTCCTCCCCTACCTGAGGGAGAGTTTCTCCGTCTGCCAGGCACCACCTACCATGTGCTTCCAAATGCTTCTTGCCTTAGCCCAGGTCAAGCTGGTTTCAGATGCCAGAAAACCTGGTGTGGAAGACAGGCACAGGACCTCTTTCAGTTCTAGAACATTCACCCACATCCTTCAACTCTGTCTCTTGATGTAATTCAGTTCAACTCACCAGGTCCTTCTGAGTGCCTTCTGTGGGCCCTGCTCTGGGCTAGGTATAGGGAGCTTTGGACCTCTGACCACAAGTCTCCTTAGCAAGCCTGAGTTGGAGCCCCAGGTTCCTGTGGGCATGACCACAGATGCTCCTTGCTGTCCACCTGCAGCTCCTCACTACTCTACAAGACAGAAGTCAGTTATTTTTAATACTTCCTGAGGTACATGGACACAGCCTTGAATCTTAATCAAGTCTCAAATAATTGCATATTTAACCCAGGAATATGTGGCCCTGTCCCCAGTAAGTTATATGCTTTGTTCAATTTTTTTTTCACATCAAGTTTCATGAGAATTCGGGACAGGGTCCGTGTTTGAATTTTCCCGTGACCTCTCTTAGGCAGCTTATGTGCGCGTGAAGTAGTATTTGAGAAAGAGCTCCCTCTGCTGACATAAACGTGCCTTTGCTTTATTTTGCAGGAGACGGTTTTCTGAAAAACAGAATCAGGTGAGGCCTCAGCCTTGCGGTTTTCCAAGAATAAAATATGCAGAACTACGGGGCTGCAAAATTAGGTCAAGTGATTTCTCTATGTCCCTATGGTTAGATGCTCCCATTTTCACGTTCCTTGAAACAGCCAAACTCACAGCTTCCAAGAAAGCTTCTAATAGTCTGTGTTATAGAGATTGCATGTATTTAGATAAGCTTCTTATTTGAAATTCATCCACTCATCTAAAAGGATGATACCAAAGGTTACAGATTTTCTAGGTTGACACAGTGTATTTCTGGTGCAAATAGTGCTATAGTTAAACAATATATTACTATAACTATGTGTAAAATGACTATCTGTTCCAGATTTACCAGGAAAGTCGCATTTTCCAATAATCTTTTTGCTCCACATGTGCACATATTTTCATCAGATTTTGTGCCTTTAACTTTGGTTTGGAAAATATGGTCTTCTTCTTCTGTCTATGTCAGTGTCTCCATCTTAGGTTACAGCCAGGGACTTGGGGCATGGATTATGTCTAATTGCTTCTTGAATTGTCCTGACAGGATGAGGTGAAGACAATACCTCCTGATGATGTCAGGTTTTTTAACCAATTGAAAGTGATCATTCTACCTGTGAGATGATTGCTGCTGTGATGTCAGAGACTCTCTGGCCTTGTTCCCAGGGAACCTGCCCATACCACAGCCCCGGGATTTCTTTTAAAAGGACAATATGACTCTATATAGACATATTGATGCTCCAGTTAAACCATTCAGGGTCCCCAGTCCTCTGGTGTCTGCTGAAGTCCCCTTTCTCTCTGGCTATTCCAGTCTCCTGCATATTATAATGTTCCAGGGATGATCGTGTGTTTCTATGTCTCACAGGAGTCCTCCCACCCCAGGCTTAAGAGAGTCCGCCCATCCCACGTGCCCTGCCGCAGTGGAGCTGCAGCAATTGTACAGCAATGGTGAGGATTCCCCAGTAGGAAGCTGCTCGCAGCCTGAGCCAGGCAAAGATAATGTGATTTGAGGTCTGGAAAAGGTCCCTGGTCTCCCTAAGGTATCCCACACCTAGACATTCCCAATAAATACTTGCTTCACAGTCTGTCCCAGAAGAGTGGAGAGGATGCTTAGGAAGGAGCGTCTGCAGCACATACCACTGACTGGGACAGTCTAGAAAGTGTTGTTTTTTCTTTCCAGTGCACCGCAAAGAAGGAGACTTGGTATATTCTGAGATCCAGATTATTCAGCAGGGAGAAGAAAAGGAAAGTAAGTCACTGGGGATAGATTTTGGCTGCAAACTATACTCGTTCATTCAATACATATTTATTGAGCACGTCCTATGTGCCAGGTACTGTTGTAAGCATAGGAAGTCAGTCAGTGAACAAAGCAGATAAAAATCGCTACAGTGTGGTGCTTAGACTCTGAAGAGAGAGGGTAGACACTAAAAAATGCATAATATATCTTTGCTGAAGGTCAGAACAAAATTAAACATCTTTCTGATAGATACTGTGATCATGAAGGTGTATATATGAAGGTTATCCTTAAGTAATTAATGAATGATAACAAAGCACCTACTGTGTACTGAGAACATTTATATACATGTATAATGTATACGTATATATACATCCATATATGTGTGTATATATATGTTTACATATATACGTTTAATTAATCCGTATAATGCGTCCATGCAACCAATACACTGAACAAGCAAGATTTATGGTTTAATTATAAAAATTTTCTGTCTTCCACAGTCTCTTTATACTGTATTTTGTGGGAGATCTTCTCAGGCACTCAGGATGAAAATTCTGGCAGCCAAAGGCTTTTTGACAAATTCTCTATTCTCTTAGGTAATAGACAGTAAGTGGACACTATGTCACAGTCTCAAGTTGGTAACTAGAATATCGAGTTCAAAATATTAATCAAAACTTTCCTATCTCTAGTTCAGACACATTTCAGAGTGGAAGCTGGCGATGGTAGGGCTGAGAGGGAAGACAGGGTAGAGTTGGCTTCTTCTCTGTTTCTTTGGTTGGCCTCTCCTGACTAGTCTGGAGGTTGCTGGGGAAAGGACTTACTCCAATTGGTGTTTTAGAAGCAGGTTTCCGCCTCTTTGGCCTGCCAGATGCTTAAGCAGGCACTCTCCCCTATGAGGTGCATGTGTAGTCTCTTCTGAGGTTTCCTGCTGAGTCTCTCCTTCCCGAAGTTCCTTTGGTACACCTGGTACATTTCTAATTCCAGAGTTGTTTGCGACTCCTTCACTGGCCTCACTTCCAGTTGATCACATCCAGCTTTATGCTGCTGGAGTCTGTTGGTACCTGTAAATGCTATTGGACAGGACCCAAGATGGCCACACTTCTGCTTGTTCTCTCTGCCACGTGGACCACATCTGTCCTTGGGAACACTTGGGCATTTCAGGTCCGTGCTAACCCAGCAACACTATTCTGATCCGATCACCAGTTGTGAGTCAGAATTCTCAACTCTCTAGATTGGTGGCTTTCAAATATTTTTTATTATAATCCACCATAAGAAATACAAATTGTATTGTCAGCCAGGGCGAACATGTACACACACACACACACACAATCACTGACACATAACTGAAACAAAAGCTATATGAGACAATACTTAGTGGGATACACTCTATTTTCTATTCTGCTCAAATTTATTGTTTTAATCAGCTTTTTGAGGTATAACCTATAGACAATATAATTCATTAATTTTAAATGTACAATCCAATTAATTTTAACAAATGTATACAGTCAGAGAACCAACACCACCATCATGATGTAGAACATTTCCAACACCCCAGAAAATCCTGCCGTGTCCCTTTGCAGTTAATCTCCCCCAGCCCCACTCCTGGCAACCACTTATCTGCTTTTTGTCCCTATAGTTTTGCTTTTCTATAATTTCATATAAATGGAATCATATATAATGTAGTCTTTTTATCTGGCTTCTTTCACTTAACATAATGTTTTGCAATTCATCCATATTCTAACATATTATAAGGAGTTCACCACTTTTTTCTTTGACATGTAAAAAGTTGTACATGTTTAATATATACAACTCACAAGTTTGGGGATAAGTATATACCATTGATAAGTATATACCATTGAAACCATAACCACCATCAAGTTCATAGATATATGCATCATCTCCCAAAATTTCTTTCCACTCCCTTTATTATTATTATTATTATTGTGTGCGGTAAGAACACTTAACATAAGATCTACCTTCTTAGTAAGTTTTAACTATAGAATAGAATGTTGTCAGCTACAGGCACTATGCTGTATAATAGATCTCCAGAACTTATTCATTCTGCATAACTCAGGCTTTGTACCCTTTGACAATTGCCTCCACTCTCTCCTCCTCCGAGACCCTTGTAACCACCATTCTACTCTCCACTTCTATGTGTTTGAATATTTAGATTCCACATATGAGTGAGAACATACAGTATTTATCTTCTGTGTCTGACTTTTTCTACTTAGCATGAAGTCCTCTAGGTCCATCCATCTTGTCACAAGTGGTAGGATTCTCCTCTTTTTAAAGGCTGAATAATATTTCATTATATATGTATCTACGTTTTCTTTATCCATTCATCCATTAATGGACATTTAAGTTGTTTCCATATCTTGCTTATTGTGAATAATTCTATGATGAATAAGGGAGTGCAGGTATCTCTTCAAGATCCTGATTTTAATTCCTTTGGATAAATACTCAGAAGTGGCATTGCTGGATTATATGATCATTTTATTTTTGATTTTTAAAGGAACCTCCATACAGTTGTTCATAACGACTATACCAATTTACACTCTCATCAAGAGTGTACAAGTGTTCCTTTTTCTCTGCATCCTTGCCAACACTTATCTTTTGTCTTTTTGATAATAGTTATCCTAACAGATGTGAGGTGATAACTCATCGTGGTTTTGATTTGCATTTCCCTGATGGTTAGTGATGTGGAGTACCTTTTGAATACCTGTTGCCCATTTGTATGTCTTCTTTGGAGAAATGTCTATTTATTTCCCTTGCCCATTTTTTAATCAGGTCATCATTATTATTATTTTGACTATTGAGTTGTATGAGTTCCTTATATATTTTGGATATAAATTCCTTATTTGAAATATGGTTTGCAGATATTTTCTCCCATTTCAAAGGTTGCCTTCTCTACATATGGCACCTCACTTGGGAGTTTAAAATCTCCAGTATCTTTGTACCTACTAGAAATTTCAATTGTAATCTTACCTAAACTTGTTTTACAAATGAGGCTAAGGAATTTTCAAGGTCACACAACCAGTAAAAGACCAAGTCTTCTGTTTTGCTGTTATATTTGCTGTTTCTAGAACCTATTACTATATTTGACCAACACATATCATCTGATCACCTAGTTTGTTCTCACTTTGATTTCTCAGCCGTTTCCACCAATCAGGGTCTTTTGCACGGTGGGATTAGAACTGCCACCAATTTGCTTGGGTTAATTGGGTCCATCTTATAAAGTTACCCTGATCATTTCCTGTTCTTCACACTCTGTCCTTGACACATTTGTCAAAATACCGTTATAGCTGAGCACTCTGTTGGCGGACTAGTTATATTTTAGACACGTTATGTATTAATGATCTGTAGCAAGATTTCTTCACCAGTGCCTCAAGGTTTGCCTGAAGCCCCTGAAATTGTATGCAAAGTTCCGTGCATATGACTATTGTTCTGAGAAGAGAATACATAGCTTCTATCATATCATTAAAAAGATCTATAACCCCAAAAGGTCTATAGTAAGAATATGGTGAAAAAGAGAAACCTCAAGTGTCCCAGGATGTATCTTTTTTTCAGGCTCTATCTCTCCATAATATTACTATGTGTTTTTGATGATTCTATCTTCTTCTCTGAAACTCTTAATTTCCCATGTGGGATCTGACAAATCATACCTTCTAAACTTTTTTCTCACTGTGGTTCCATCTCTAAGAAATTGTGGCAATAAAATCAAGAACTAGAATATGCTAATGTAAGAGGGCATACATATGAAGAGCTGTAATTGGAACTTGGTGGGCAATCAGGGGTGAACTTTGAGGTTGGGGTGAGATGGAAGTACTATACACTAAGAGAGGAAAGAATTAAAACTAAGAGACAAATCCTCTCTCAACATCTAGTGAAGGAAGGGAGCAAGGTTTCTTGGCATGGTATTGAGGGAAGACTTTACAGATCAGTGGAGCTTGAAACGAATTTGCAGAAGGCTGGGTTGAGAAATGATGAAACAGAAAATCACATGTGCTACAGGGCATGTTGGGGTTTAGGGTTAGAAAAACATGACAGTCAATGAAAGGGCCCAGTGGCTCCCAGCCTCTGGGAAATAAGCTAAAAGACTGAGTTCCTGGTGGATCCAGATGCCCACAGTTCAGTGGTTCCCTTTCCCTCCACAGCCAATACCTCCAGAACATCTCTAGAGGACAAGGTGAGTTTTATTTCCTGACTATTTTCTCTTCTGCTACTACCTATAGCCCCATACTCCCTCTCCCTTTCCATTTCTTCTTCTATCTTCTTTCCACTCCAGTGTGCCTCCGTTATCTACTCTGAGGTGAAGAGGCAGCTTTCAGGGGATTCAGCTGGAATGGTCCGCTGTAAGGATGAAGAAGCCATGGAAAGTTACGAGAATGTCCCTCATAAGACTTGTCCCTGATCCAAAGCCCCCAGCTGAGTGCAGCCCTCAAGGTCTCTGGAGTGGACAACAAGTTCCAGCTTTCCAGTTCTTCTTGCCCATGTGCACTCACTCCCAGGACTCCTGATTCATCTACTCTGAAGTGGTGATGGGATGGCTCCTGAAAGACTTCACTAACATAACCAGGATCCATAGTTAAGGGAAGACCCTGTGTACCTGCTCTGAGGCAAACTGACATGTTCCCCAGGGTCTGATTTAGGGGAAAAGAATAAGGAGGGAGAAGGATTAATGTTGAAAAACAGAAGTACAAATTTTGGTGAATTCGGATTTATACATAGACAGAAGAGAGTGAGTTGACTCAGGTCTCTGTTTAACATGGTCACAACAATTCTCCCACTGGGGAATCATCTGCACTCATTGGTTTCACTGTGAGTAGCTGCACAGGTACTTCATAGACCATGGATAGCTCCTCCCCTCCTGCTTACACTGTTCACACTGTCAGGCTTCAGTTCAAACAAAAGAATGCATTCCAAATGGTTTACAGAGAAAGATATTTAAAACACGATATTAAATACTTTGTAAAATCATCAGAAGAGCTGGAGAAGCAGGCTGTCGGCTGAGTTTCCAAAAGCAAAAACTAATTATGTTAACATTATTAGGGACATTTTTTTCTCTTTCTTCTTTTTTTAAAGTTTTTTTGAGGAAGATTAACCCTAATCTAACATCTGCCACCAATCTTCTTTTTTGCTGAAGAAGACTGGCCCTGTGCTAACATCCTTGCCCGTCTTCCTCTACTTTGTATGTGGCATGCCTGCCACAGCTTGGCTTAACAAGCGGTGCGCAGGTCCGCACCTGGGATCCAAACTCACAAATCCTGGGCCGCCCAAGTGGAATGTGCAAACTTAACTGCTTTACCACTGGGACCGGCCCCCAAAGATTTTTAACATTAGAGAAGAGAAATACAAATATAAAATTAAAAAGTTAAGTAACAACCCTGCAAACCCAAATTTGAATTGGAAATAGTTTAAACTGATGACAAACTCTGCCTTTCTAAAAAAGATAGTTATTTCCTAGGTCTGACTGCTGAAAAGACCCAGAAATAACTGCCAATCCAATAACAGTGAGCACTCCTTGCACAGGTTGTAGTCTCTAAATACTACTTCCTACTCAAAGGATCTGGAGCCACCTTTCTTGTAGGAACTGTATCTTTGAGTTGCCAAATAGTTGGTGTGAGAATAATTCTTCCAATAAATGAAGAAGGAATGAAATAAATAGAAAACCACTGTTTTGTGTGGATGTTTCATGCTACACCTACTGGTTAACATTAAAAGACAGACCCTCACTTGATGTGCCTCTTGAAGGTGGTATTCAATACCACCTACAAAGTATTCATGCACAAATATCAAAACTGAATCAGATAGATTCTCTAGATCTAACTACAGGAAATCCTTGGGACAAAGGAATATGTTAAATACACCATGGCACTGCAATCAGCAACATCCAAACTGGGGGAAAATTCTGTAGGACAAATGACCTGCTTTCTTCAGCAAATAAATGACAAAAGATAGGAAGGAAGGAAGGAAATTAAAAAAATCAAAGAAGGAGAGAAGACCTATATATTAAATGAGACTTGAGGCATATCAGCCAAAGGAATGAGTGGGCCTTGTTTGAATCCTGACTCAAACAAATCAAGTTAAGAAATACATCACTTTCGAAATATGAAGGGAAAATTGTACACTAATACTAAGAAATGATTGTATGTCTGGGATATAAATGATAGTATTGTGGTTTCTATAAAAAAAAGGAATTTTTATCTTTTAAACTCATACTGAAGGATTTGTAGATTAAATGATACGATTTTGTTTGAAATAATCTGATAAGGGTAGGCTGGGTGGGAAGTGGATGGGGGTAAGATGAAACCAGGGTTGGTCCTGTGTGCACATTTCTGAAGCTGAGTGATGGATACATTGCTGGAAGAAGGGGAACTTATACTAGTTTCTGCTTTTGTGTGTTTTTAATTTTTCACAATAAAAAGTTAAAATATCTATATCTAGAATACCACCTCATTTCATCGCTTCCAGTGCTTCCATCCTTGTCCGAGGCACCTCTTGCTTTTATTACAGCAGTGGATTCATGTCTCCCTTCTTTGTCTCTTGCCTCCCTACAGCCTGTTCTCAGCATTGGGGTCATTGTGCATTAGCGATAAAAGTCCAAGTATCTTTGAAAAGCATAATATAAACAGGCAAGAGAGAAAGGTGAAGTCATTGTTTCTGAAATAGGCTCCCTGATTACGATGGAGTTCGGGAACTATTAACACATTTGAATTTTTAAACAATCTCACGAGAGATACTACTATTGCCAATTTACAGATGAAGATTCCAAGATTCAGAGGTGTTAAGGTACCTGGCCAACATGATTCAGTTATTGTGGACCCAGGGCAGGAACTAGATCTGCATTTCCTTTCCCTGGTGTTGATTCTAAATTACCACATGACCTCCGCCTATCCTGTCTGCATCCACCCTGGGGTCGACTATTCTCAGAAGCCCCACTTTGACTGTGGGCTTTCCTCCTATGGTTTTTAAATCAGAAACTTCACCCTCTCCTCTCACTTTGCATTTCTGCCCTTCATCCTTTGCATCTCACACCCACAACTACTCTTAAGATCTCAGCTAAGAAATATTCCAAATTCTTCCTGGTTATGCTCATATTTCTAAAGTAGAAATTAATCACCTTGTTAAGCCCTAATTTTGGCAACATTAAAACAAAAATGTTTGAGAGCCAGACCTGAGGGTCTAGTGGTTGAAATTTGGCACTCTCACTGCTTCCGTGGCCTGGGTTTGCTTCCTAGTCGTGGAACGAAACCACCTGTCTGTCAGTAGCCACATGGTGGTGGTGGCTCACATAGAAGAACTAGAAGGACTCACAACTAGGATATACAACTATGCACTGGGGCTTCAGGAAGGAAAAAAAATGTTTGCACAAATAAAGTATTTAAGAGATGTATCTTTTATAACCACATTCATAGCAGCATTATTCACAATAGTCAAAAGACGGAAGCAACCCACAGGTCTATTGGTGGATGAATGGGTAAATAAACATGGTATATACATATTGGAATATTACTCAGCCTTAAAAACAAAGGAAATTCTGACACACAATAGAATGTGGATGAACCTTGAGGACACATGCTAAGTGAAATATGCCAGTCACAAAAGGACAAATACTGTATGATTCCACTTGTAGAAGTTAACTACAATAGTCAAATTCATAGGAGTTCAGCAGAGACCATGGAAGGCATGGCTGCTCTAATAGGAAGCAAGGCCAGGATGCTAATCAGAATACTATGGTTGATGAGGACTTCGGACCATGGGACCAATATAGATAAACAGGCTATATCTGTATAACAGAAAACAAACCAGAAGCCTGGCTTGAATCATCAAAGAGAGTCATGGCCACCCCATTTTTTGTGCCAATTACTCTATCAGTTAGGGTTTTGTGTCAGACAACAGAACCCACTGTAGCTGATTTACAAAGAATGGGATTTAATATAAGGTATTGAGGGAAAGGCTGGAGAATGAGGCTCTGGGCTGAGCCTCCAGGAGCAACTCTCATAAGCAAAATGCCAAACCGTCCTGGCAAGAGAGCAGCCACCTCCCCCACAGGTGACTCAAGATCCACAGGGTCTCTGCTGCTACTGGGAAAGTTCCAAAATCAAGAAACTGCTGTAACTACCATTCAACACTACCTAATTGGAGACTGACCAAGCAATGTAGCTTACCTTCTGCAACTCAGAAGAGTCAAACAGCCACCTCTACCGTCTAGCTTTCAGAAGAGCCCACAGCTGCAGTTTCGTTACACCCAAGTCCATCTCTCAGTCTGGAAGGTGATCTGTTTAGTGGAGGAGAGGCTAAATGCAGAAACCCTGGCTTCACCCTTCCAGCCTCTATTGAACAAGAAGTCACGTGGAAAGGATTGGTATTAGGAGAATCATTTTTATCTGCCACAATAGTTCTTTTAGAACGTTGTATGTGTGTGTGTATGTTTGTATACTTTAGTGTTACTAGTAAAAGTCACAGGCAGAGCAGTGCATCAAAATAGAACATGGCTTTTAAATCCAAGAGATTTCAGTTCAAGTCTTGAATGTGCCACTTATCAGCTGTAAGTCCTTACACCAGTTACTTAAATTTTCTCGGTTCAATTTTCTCCTATGCAAACTGAGGACAGTATGTACTTGTACAGCCATGTGAGCACATTCTCATCTCGAGGCTTTTGCCCTTGTTGTTTTCTCTGCCTATAATGCTTTTCTCGCTGATAGCTGCTATTTGTTCCCTCTCAACCTTCAGTGCGTACTCAAGTGTTACAATTTCCCTGAAGTCTTCCCTTACCACTTGTTTAGTATAGTCACGTCTCCCAACCCCCATCAACTCCTCTCTTCCTTATACTACTTCCTAAATATCCAAAGCACTTTTCATCATTTGACATTTCAAAATTGTTCTTGTTTATCTTACTATCACAACTATGATTTATGTCTATGAGGACAGAAACTTTTGTCTTGTTGACTAATGTATCCCCAGTGACTCTTTCAAAGCCCAACACATGGTAAGCACTTAAGTAACATTTGTGAATTGTGAGGATTATATAAAGCAATGGATGTAAATGCCTGAACATGTTCCATTGGCACTTAAGCATTCAATACATGTTACATAACAGTATTATTATTTGTTAATCCACTGATATATTTTCTAGGTCAACAAATATTTATTGAGGACTTAGTATATCAAACATAAAGACTGATTAGAAAAAACGCCTCTCCTTAAGAAGTTTCCAAATTAATATACTGGAAGAGATAGATACATGAAGAAATAGTTTCCATTTAATGTGAAAGTAACATTTGAAACGCACTTAGCCAATGTGCTAAGAAAAGGAATATTAACAGTTTTAACAGATGACCCCAGAAGTCTTAGGAGCCCTCCAAAACAAAATATTACTTGCTCTCAGGGTGAAGGGCAAGGCTCTGCTCCACACAGTCATTTAGGAGCCCAAGCTCCTTACTGCCATCCTCAAGGCTTCCAATTTCTCTACAAAAGCAGAGAGCATGGAAGGTCACCCAAGAGACTTTAGGAGCCAGCCCTGAAAGTGGCACGCATTCATTCCTCCCACTGTCCATCAGCCAGAACTAAGTCACAGGTTTCCTGCTTAACTCTAGGGGTTGGAAATCAATCCAACTGTGGTCCAGGAAGCAGAGGGCACGGATCTGGTGAGCATATCAGGCAGTCACTACCCTTCTCAGCCAAGGGAAATGTTTCCAGAAGAGATAGTACAGGGTGATGGAGAGAGTGTTTGAATGTAGAAGCCAAGAAGATTGGAGTTCATATACAAATCATGATTAGTAGCTATGAGACCTTAGTTGAGTTACTCTAAGTTACTGAAATACCTCTTCAGAGATGAAAAATGAGAATAGCAGTAGAATCTAATTCATAAACTTACTGTGAGGATTAAATGTGTGAAACTTTAAGCATAGTGCCTAGAACACAGCAAGCAAGGAGGAGGAGGGAGCAGAAGGAAACAGAACAGAAAGAAGAAGAAAAAGAAACTGAGCTGGAAAACTAGACGCAGAAATGACAGGCTGGGGAATGAAGAGAAGGCCTTTCAACAGGAATAGAAAATGTGCAGAGGCAGCATGTGTTCAGGAAATTACAATCAATTTAGCATATTTGCTGAATAAAATTTTCTTTACTGGAAAATTGCA